AGTTTCGTAAAAGGTCCATTGTGAGACCGGCATTTTCATAGCAAGCAAAAATTTGTATTGCGCCCAATTTTCATGAAACTCTCAGCATTTGTAGATCCGAGTGTTTTCTAACAATTGTCAAAAACAAAAATTCCCACTTGCTTTGGTTTGAAAGTTGCGATTTTTTTAAAGAGAGAGTGCAGTTTCGTAAGAACGATCATTTTGAGACCGCGATTTACACCACGAAAACCTTTTCAAGTCTGGGCGATTTTAGTGAAACTATCAGCATTTATAGAGCAAAGTGTCTTCTCAAAACTGTGAAAACTTGAAATTGCTACCTGCAATCGTTTGAAAATAGCGATTTTTTTAACGAGAGAGCGCAGTTTCGTAAAAGGTCCATTGTGAGACCGGCATTTTCATAGCAAGCAAAAATTTGTATTGCGCCCAATTTTTATGAAACTCTCGGTATTTGTAGAGCCGAGTGTTTTCTAACAATTGTCAAAAATAAAAATTCCCACTTGCTTTAGTTTGAAAGTTGCGAATTTTTCCAACAGAGAGAACAAGAACAAAACTTCATTCATTCATTGAAAAAATTTTAATCGTAAGGAGGAATTTTACTCCAAATTGTGAGATTCATATTAAGAGCAAAAAATTGTCGGTACTAAATCGTCATTTTAGGCTCACACCGACTTTAAGCCAAAGCTTAACGCAAGTAAGCCGTGCTTTAATGAAAGCAATTAGCAATCAAACCGAAAAAGTGTTTCTTTGTTAACTTAATTTTGTTATTATTATTTAAAATTATTTGTACTTTTCTCAGTGATTCATAGGAAGCTTCTAAAGCGCGCAAATTTCCAGCCTAAACATGATTTGTTGAAATTGTCTTGATAGCATGATTGAGACAAACAAAAACCGACATCAGTTTAAAAATAAATTATGATGATGATCGCTTTGCAAATATTGCAAAATCTCAATCAACAATCAAAACTGACATGTTTTTGTTAGTTAGATACGCCGAACAGGATTATCGGCGAAAAATCCCTGTGATATTAAAGGTCAGGAATCGCCCTCAGGCATTGTTTTCCCAACTTCCAGCTTCTCAAGCCATTTGCAGTTAAATCTCTGGGCATTTTTTGTGCCAAAAATCCGTTCACGCACAAAAATCTATCGTAGCATGACGTAGCAAATCGATTAGACTCATCAATATAAGTTAATAATAATTGTGTTCGATTTTACATAATGTGTGATCGAAACTTAATTGGCATACAATCATTCACATCAAGATACGATTAAACTCGAGCACCTGGGCATAGTTGACATGTCAAGCATAAAGTCGGTATTAGATAAGCGTGTTATCTTCGATGAGGCGCTGATCCACTAATAAATGTGACTCAAAATCTTCTAGAAGACTTTTTAACAGGGCAACAGACCCCAATCTTCAATCGCTTTCTGACCATCTTCAAACGGTCACTATCTGCCTGAAGTGACTCTTCTCGCCTTCCTGAAGCCATAGATTGGTCTTAAAGATTCTCGCTCTGTTGCTCACTTCTTCAGTTTAATCTTGCGGATATTATAATGGAAGATTTTACTTAGCGGAGATTCCAAAGCGATTCCAAAGGGAGTGGCTGAATTTGGGCACTCAATTTTCTTCTTTTGATATTGGCCCTTCTTCCATATCTTCCGCAATTTCCGCCACTGTGACGCATAAAGCTTCCTTTGAAGTTTCTTCAATATTTTAAGTTTTACCAGGAAGACTGGTGCACGTTCAAAACCTGCGTAGGTGCTTGGACTATTGTCTATTTTGCGCCTCTGCCCTCTAAAGTGTCTCACTTCCAACAGCAAGAGCGCAGCTACTTGAAATTCTCACATGTCATAGAAGAAACTGAAGTGTAGAAACTCTATGAATTTCATTGGAAACAAGAGCCATGTGGATTTTTGACAATTTTTCAAAATCTGCCCCAAACACTAGACTGTTTTTCGTTTGGCGCGTCTGCATTCTAAAATCGACTACTTTTAACTGTGGCCAGGCAGCCAGTTGAAGTTTGCACAAGTTATAGAAGAAACTCTAATCTAGAAATGTGATAAGTTTCATTCTCAAGCTGTGCCAGCTCGATTTTTTACAATTTTTCAAAATCTGCCTAAAACTAGAGTGTTTTTCATTTAGCGCGCCTCTATTTCGAAACGGCTTACTTTTAAATGTGACGCAGTAGCAACTTGAAATTCTCACCCGTTATACAAGAAGGTTAAATCTCTGAATCTGAAGAGTTTTGTTCTAAACCCGAGCCAACTGCGTTTTTGAAAATTTTTCAAAATCTGCCTTAGAAACTTGACTGTGTTGCATCTGCCGCGCTGCCTTTTCAAATGGCTCACTTTTAAGGACGATCAAGTAGCGACTTGAAATTCTCGTGTCTTATAGAGGAAGCCTGAATCTATCAACCCGGAAAGTTTCATTCTAAACAAGCTCGAGCTCGATTTTTGTCATTGTTTGAAAATCTTCCCCAAAACTGGACTGTTATTCATTTGACGCGTCTGCATTCTAAAATTGACTACTTTTAACTGTGACCAGGTAGCTACTTGAAGTTTACACACGTTATAGAAGAAACTCTAATCTAGAAAACCGATAAGTTTCATTGTCAAGCTGTGCCAGCTCGATTTTCTACAATTTTTCAAAATCTGCCTAAAACTAGAGTGTTTTTCATTATGCGCGCCTCTATTTCGAAACGGCTTAGTTTTAAATGTGACGCAGTAGCAACTTGAAATTCTCAACCGTTATACAAGAAGGTTAAATCTATAAATCTGAAAAGTTTTGTTCTAAACCCGAGCCAACTACATTTTTGATAATTTTTCAAAATCTGCCCCTAAACCCGAGCCTAGAAAATGGACTGTTCTTCATCCGTCGCGTCTGCATTCTCAAATGGCTCACTTTTAAAGACGATCAAGTAGCGACTTGAAATTCTCGTGTCTTATAGAGGAAACCTGAATCTATCAACCCGGAAAGTTTCATTCTAAACAAGCTCGAGCTCGATTTTTGTCATTGTTTGAAAATCTGCGCCGAAACTAGGCTGTTTTTCACTTGGCGTGTCTGCATTCTAAAATCGATTACTTTTAAGTGCGACCAGGTAGCTACTTGAAGTTTACACACGTTATAGAAGAAACTCTAATCTAGAAATCCTATAAGTTTCATTCTCAAGCTGTGCCAGCTCGATTTTTTACAATTTTTCAAAATCTGCCTAAAAACTAGAGTGTTTTTAATTTATCGCGCCTCTATCCCCAAACGGCTTACTTTTAAGTGTGAACCAGTAGCGACTTGAAATTCTCACCGGTTATACAAGAAAGTTAAATCTATCAATCTGAAAAGTTTTGTTCTAAACCCGAGCCAACTGCATTTTTGATAATTTTTCAAAATCTGCCCTAAAAACTTCACTGTTTTGCATCCGTCGCCTCTGCATTCTCAAATGGCTCACTTTTAAAGACGATCAAGTAGCGACTTGAAATTTTCGCGTCTTATAGAGGAAACCTGAATCTATCAACGCGGAAAGTTTCATTCTAAACAAGCTCGAGCTAGATTTTTGTCATTGTTTGAAAATCTGCGCCGAAACTAGACTGTTTTTCATTTGGCGTGTCTGCATTCTAAAATCGATTACTTTTAACTGTGACCAGGTAGCTACTTGAAGTTTGCACAAGTTGTAGAAGAAACTCTAATCTAAAAATTCGATAAGTTTCATTCTCAAGCTGTACCAGCTCGGTTTTTTACAATTTTTCAAAATCTGCCTAAAACTAGAGTGTTTTTCATTGAGCGCGCCTCTATTTCGAAACGGCTTACTTTTAAATGTGACGCAGTAGCGACTTGAAATTCTCACCCGTGATACAAGAAGGTTAAATCTATGAATCTGAAAAGTTTCGTTCTAAACCCGAGCCAACTGCGTTTTTCATAATTTTTCAAAATCTGCCCTAGAAATTTGACTGTTTTGCATCCGTCGCGTCTGCATTCTCAAATGGCTCACTCTTAAAGACGATCAAGTAGCGACTTGAAATTCTCGTGTCTTATAGAGGAAACTTGAATCTATCAATCCGGAAAGTTTCATCCTAAACAAGCGAAAGCTCGATTTTTGACACAGTTTCCAAAAGTGCCCAGAAACTAGACAGTTTCCTTTCGGCACGTCTGGTTTCTTTGATGGTTCACTTCCAAACGTAATCAAGTACCAACTTCAAGTTTTCACCAGTGATAGAAAACACTTCACTTTACAAATCCCAAAAGTTCCGCTGTAAACTAACGCTTCCCTCATTTCTGGCAAATTTTTAAATCCCGCTCCTGAAACATGACTGAAAATGTTTCCCATTCGGTCCTCTCGCCTCATTTCCAAACATCAGCAAGCAGCGACTTAAAATTTTCACACCTTCAAGGCTCCCAAACGTTCGTTTTGTGCCAGCAAGCTCAAAACTCACTTTAGGGCTGAAGAAAAGAAAACACCCACATACAAGAAAAATAATTTAATCAAATCTAGCAAGTTGACAAAATCCCTGAGTACGATGCATGTGGGTTGCTGCCTCACGGCTCAATGGTGGTGAGGGTCCCAGCAGGGTTCCCACCAGTACAACCAGCAGGGAATATAGGGACGAGCTGCAAGAAAAATCATTCCAGCTAATTCCAGAAAATCCTGCTTGCTCACTTACCAGATGTGGGATCTACTGGCGGTATGACTGAAGAAGATTCAGTAGACGGCCGTGTTGTAGTCGTACTAGTAGTAGTGGACGGAGTATTTGGAGCTAAAGTTGTAGTTGTTGTAGGAGTGTCTGGAGCTACAGGAGTAGTTGTTGAAGGAGGAGTATCTGGAGGTGGGCTAGAAGGTGCTGTAGAAGGA